TGCAATTTTTTTTCCATCATAATTAACAACTTTCCAAATAAAAAAAAAAATCATCCTTTATTTTCCTTTGATCCAAACGTATAATGGAAAAAATATATAAAAAAAATAAATAGTACAAACTTTTCTTATTTTTCTCCCTTATTTTCCTTCTTCTTCTTCTCAAACATAGTGTAAACGCATGGCACACTTCCAATTCTACAAAATTTTCAACTTTTAATGATTTTAATTTCAAATAACAAGCAACATTCTATTTTTTAATTCCAAATATTTTTTATCCAATTGAACTTAACAGGATTCCGAAATAAGGAATAAACAAACAATTGATAAATCCAAACGACTTCTATCCAAAATAATAAATATTTTTCAAGAAAACAAATTATGAGTTTCTTATACATTTTGAAAAGAAAAACCTTAATTTGAAAATAATAAAAATACACACGAAAATGGATCAAAACAAGAAATTAACTTAAGACTTCTTTAATACTGTTTATTGTTTAATTGCATTGATAGAATTAGAAGTAGTAATTCAATGTAAAATGTATTATACTTGATGGATATTTTGAGTCACAAATTGACCTTCATTTTTCCAAAAAAAAAAAAAAAAAAGATTGGACCTTTGCAATTTTTCCAAAAAAAAAAAAAGAAAAGCATTTTTGCCATTTAAAAAATTGTTAAATTAAAGAGAGAAAAGAAAAAATTAAAGAATATATATATATATATATAATTATAAATGGATAGTTGGGTGATTCAAGAACCTTATTTTGGGGTGTCCCAATTTACTTTAAATTCTTGTCAATTATTAGTGTAAATTATATATATATATATATATATATATATATGGAGTTTGATTCAAGAACCTTTTGGTGTCCAATTATTTAAATTCTTGTCAATTATTAGTGTAATTTAATAAGTTGTTGGAGTGATTTTGTTTATATATTTTGCGTAAATTTACAAAATAAAAAACGTACAAGAATAAAAAAAAAAAAAGAAGTCAGTAATTGTATTTGTAAGCAAGTGCATTAAGGGTATGCTTTACATGTCATTGCCGTTTATAAAGATTTGCTTAATTGCCTAGAAGCAAAGTCTTTTTATTTAGCATGATTTGCTTAATTGCCCAGAAATGAGAAAACCAAAATCAATTACCTTGTAAAGAAGATTATAGTAGGTAGCAATTCCACTAAAGCAAGGTATAATTTTTTGTTTTTAATTGTACCTAAAAAATCCAAGTATTGATCTAATTTAGTACAAATGGTATTACTTATAATTCAATTTGAAATATAGTATTTGATAATAACTTTTTAAAGAGCTTTTAGTATTTTGACTAAACGTTATTTTTCATAGTGTTTGTTAACATAACATTTGAATTAACTTTTAGATATTAAGGTAGCGTTTTATAAAAAATTAACTCCTATAATGTTTAGCTTTTTACGTTAGCACCTAAACGCTATTATAACAACTAACTAAAATAGTTAATTTTGTTGGACCGCCCCTTAATATAATATACGAAAAACTAATCTGTAATAACACATTTGCAACTACACTTCACAGCCTATTATAGCAGGGAGTGCAACTAAAAAAGTGCAGATAGAACTTAAAAAAAAAAAAAAAAAAAAAATTAACTTGATTGATCCAAGAACACACAAACATCAATAATTGTATCAAACAAATATACTAGTTTTAATGCTTGTAAGGAAATTGTGAGTACAATAATTCTTAATGGTAGATGAAAATATACAAATGGGCTTCCCTAAGATTTAGGGACCAAAGCCCAATTCTACACACATTTCATAAAGCCCAATTCTACATTTGTGGCCAAATTTGGATGACATTGTAAGAAGTAATAAGAAAATTTATAATTTAAAAATTATAAAAATATGAAAATTGAAATTGCTTATAACCCTAATTACACGTTATTAATAAATATCTTCGAATATAGAATCATAAAATATAAATATACCATAAATCTCAAATAATAATAATAGCAAATGGAAGACAATTGACATCTCCATTGCACCCAAAAGTAAAAAAAGAATAATAATTACAAAAATATGAATATTATACTAAATGAGACAAAGTTTTTAAAGGATGTAATTAAATTGACATCTCATATGATTAATTAAGCATTATTAATCCTAATAAGGACAAATCATTAGCATCACCAAGATAGTTTTCAATCAACAGCTTTTTTTTTTTTTTTTTTTTTTTTTTTTTTATCATTTAGCATCAAACCAAGAATGTTTTTCAATCAACAGCCTTTTTTTTTTTTTTTTTTTTTTTTTTTTTTTTTTTTTTTTTTTTTTTTTGCCCAGAAAGTCCTTTATCTATATTGAGTAGCATTAAAATATAATTTATTAATATTAAGAACTTATTACTGTAAATTCGTCAAAAATATTATCCTACAAATGCCTATTCTAACCTCAAATGCCTTCAGGTTACCAATTCTAACATGATACCAATTTAAAGTTCTGCTTACAATGTTTAGCTCTTTGTTGATACATAATTTGCTATTTACCTTGTTAGGTAGGGTTTGAATTCTGAAGTCAAATGATAATAGAATTTTTTTTTTTTTTTTTTCCTTTGTGGCTTGTTTAGTGTAAATGAAATTCATACAATTTTGGTGTTTGATATGATAAAATTTTGTTATTTAATATAACTCATAAATTTAGAATTTCACATTTTTAATTTTATCAAATTTGTAATGTTTGAACTTAATTCTACCAAAATGGATAAAATCTACAAATGAATTTTATACACGAAGAAGTCTAAGTAATGAAAGTTAATCAATTTTATCGATGGAGATTGATCGAGTGTAAATGACGCATGTCCCTTAAAGATGAATGATCGCTCTCTTTCTAATTTATTATATTTGCGCTAATTGAAGTCTGAACTTCCAATTTCATGAATCCATCTAAGCCTAATAATATTGTGGAATCAAAAATTTTAAATTGAAATACTTACCTTTATAATTGCACTAAAAATATAAATTCAATACATATGATAAACAAATGTTATATTATAGTATTGAAACAAAAACTTCACAGTATTTTTCTTTGCAAATACATAAGGCAATTGTAATTAAAGGATATAAATTCAAGAGGATAGCAAAGGAAAAAAAAAAGTATATACATATAAAATGGTATGGGGTACGTATATATGTTGGTAAGACAAGCTTTCTATTCTTATATCAACGATTCTATATTTCTATAAGTGAGTTACTGATTTAAAAATTAAAATTTTGAGTACGAAATTATCAAATTCTGATTAGATATACATGCATCCAAGTATAGAAAAAAAAAAGAATTTTTTTATATTTTTATATTTAAATTCATGGTTTTAGAATTTAAAATGTCATAGGTTGATATCATCTAACTCGCTTTTGAGAAACAGTTAAAATTTTGTCTCTAGGTAAACTGAGTTGGCATTTTTTTTTTTATTATATGCAAGTAATTATCAAATTGACAAGGTATACATTGTAAGATATACATGGAAATCAATGAGCCAAGACATTCGCGAGTTGGAGTTATTGAAAATTCGGAAAAAAAAAAAAATCGATTCCATAAAATTGAAAAGTCGAGTTCGAGTTTACAATTATGAAAAGAGAAATGGGTTTAGAAAAGAGAAAAAATATATATTTTTAACTATAAACTATACACGATTTTGAATATGATGGATATCATATGAAATGGGTTCGATATACAATTATAAAAAAAAAAAAAAAAAAGTTAATTCCAGTTTGGAGGTTATTGGAAAATTTCGCGAAAAACAAAAAAAAAATCGATATCCCAATAGAAGATTCGAGAAAAAGTCGGAGTTTCAGACGTTTAACATTATGAGAAAGCAGAAAATGGGTTTTAGCAAAAGAGAAGAAAATATAATATTTTTAACCTATAAACACTATACGACGAATCTTTGAGGACATATGCAAAAGATGGCATATCATATGGAAATGGGTTTCGATATGACAACTTTAAAAAGAAAAAAAAAAAAAGTGATTTAAGCTACTGCAACCAAAGACACGGGACCAGCAAAAAAAAACACAACACTCAGAGCTGCTTAACGAACTCGAAGCTTTAGCAAATAGATAGATAACTCAAAAACTCGAGGCAACGGACTCATTATAGTTGTATCACAATAGCAAAGAACTCGAAATACGAAAAAAAAAAAAAAAAAAAAAAAGTGAATTTAAGCTACTGCACCAAAGCTGGACGCAAAAAAAAACCAACTAAGCTGCTTTAACGAAACTCGAGCTTAGCAATACTTAACTCAGCACGGCTCATTTATAGTTACATATACAAACTCGAATACAAAAAAAAAAGATATATATTTTTTTTATTTTTCATTTTAACATCCGTGATTTTAAAATTTAATTATGTGATTATAGCAATTCTATACACTGTTATGAGTTTTAAATATTTAGCATCGAACAATCATCAAATTCACTAGCTTTCCAGAAAAAAAGTTAAAATTTTTTATCCAGCTAAACCGAGTTTGCATTTTTTAAAACATAGACATATAATAATGCAGATAAATTATCAGATCAGACATAATTAATTAATTTAAACATGCATAATTAACAATGTCTGTGAAGCAAAGTTATCTATATATAATATAAAATAATAAAATTAAGTAAAATAGTAATAATCATAGCAGATAAATTACAGATCAGCAGGAAAGGTTAATTTATAAGAATTTAAATATGTTTGGAACAACACATAAAGACAAGATAGAAATGGAAACATACAAGCCGGTTATAGACGGCTACCATTTACAGTTATACTTTCTCTTTAGCCGGCTATTTCTAAATTTGCCAGCCCACACTCTTCCAACACTTTCTTTCTTGTCACTCCTTTATAATCCTTTCGGTTTGGAGGATTCACTCGCTCGTAATTCTTTTTTTTATCGTCATCTTCTTTCCTTTTCTTGTACTGTATTCATCTGTCAATTGATAGTTCTGGACTTGTATTAGCTTATTTGGTTACTGTCTCGTATATAGCTTGAAAATGGGGAAATTATCATCGCAGCAAAATCAGAAAAGTGTGGGAAATACTAACATTACGATAAATAATAATAACAATGGAGTTATGAAGGCGAAACGTACTAGAAGAAGTGTACCGAGAGACTCTCCTCCTCAACGTAGCTCCATTTATCGAGGGGTTACTAGGTTAATCTCTCTTTCATTGTTTATTTTTTTTAACTTCTTAATCTGCAATGAGTATGTTTATGTATTTTGGTATGAGTATAGGCATCGGTGGACTGGTCGATACGAAGCTCATTTGTGGGATAAAAACTGTTGGAACGAATCGCAAAATAAGAAAGGACGACAAGGTTATTCATCTCCTGCATATTTTTCTTTCTTTCTCTTTTTATAAATTATTCATCTCCTGCATATCTTTCTTTTTTATTGTTTCGTATTGATGTTTATTTATTTATTTTTTTAACATGGTTTTATGGTGGCATTGATGGATATTCACCAAAATGCAGTATATCTTGGTATGTATTCGAATGCACCTTAAGTCTTAATTAATTCTTTGTAGAAAATGATTTATGGATATAAATTAATTGTTCAGGTGCCTATGATGATGAAGAAGCAGCTGCACATGCTTATGATTTAGCAGCACTCAAATATTGGGGTCATGAAACAATTCTCAATTTTCCGGTAATTAATTAATTTAATCTTTCTGTTATTATCTTTGATCCTTTTTTAAAAAAAAGAAAAAAGAAAAAAGGAAAAGGGTGATTTTCTTTTTAACAAAATTGCTCTTTGTTCTTGATTTTTATGTACATAAATATAGCTATCAACATATGAAACCGAGCTTAAAGAAATGGAGGGTCAGTCCAGAGAAGAATACATTGGATCATTAAGAAGGTATATGTACGTACATATATATTCAATAGAATATTCATTTATATTATTATACTTGGGATTTGGCTGATTTTGGGATTGAATTTTTCTAGGAAAAGCAGTGGGTTTTCTCGTGGAGTATCAAAATATAGAGGTGTAGCAAGGTAATTTAATTAATTAATATATTTTTCAAGTAAAAGCCTTGGCTTTTGTTAATTAATTAAATTTAATTTCCTTTTCAATGAGTAGACATCATCATAATGGAAGATGGGAAGCTCGAATTGGCAGAGTTTTTGGCAACAAATACCTCTATCTTGGAACATATGGTATAATCAATTTCATTATTGTTCTAAAGACATCTAGGGTTTTCAATATCGAAAATAATTTTTAAATTGTCAATGAAGAAACGTCTCCTCTTACTACATGAGATCAGAATTTGAAAACGTTTTTTCTTTTAAATATGAAAAACATTTTGGTTATATTATATTACTGATATTTGAAACTCCAAATGTAATTAGATGGAAATTGGGTTAATTAAGTCTGAGCAAAAAAATATTCAGAAAATAATTATATATCTAGTTCTTTTCTCGTATAACCTAATTCTTCATCTCTAACCAATTCAAATGTGCTCAAAGGAGAAGGAAGTTTAAACTTTCTCTAGTACGTCTGTTCTTCTGCTATTTGTCAAAAGAATCAGTTGTTTCCACCAAACTAGCTAGTGTGTTAAATGAGGACAAGCAAGTCAGTTATGTAGGTCTATAGGAAGTTGGACAACTCCAAACTAGCTAGTGTGTTCAACGACATTAATTGCTATTATTCCCAAAAAATCTCAATAATTTATTAAAAATTAGACAAATCAAATAACTTTCTCAAGAGATTGAAAAAAAAATGTAAATATAATATTTATTTGTGGATGAAGAGAGTATATTAATAATTAATATTTAATCTTTTTTTTTTCACAGCTACACAGGAAGAAGCTGCCACTGCGTATGATATGGCGGCCATAGAATACCGTGGACTAAATGCTGTTACCAATTTTGATCTTAGCCGTTACATCAAGTGGCTTAAACCTAATCAAAATGACATTAACAACAATAATTATGATCCAAAGCAACCTAACCCTAATTTAGGCACCAATTCTTCAACTCCTAACCCTAATAATCAAGAATTTGGATTAAGCTTCCTTAACCAACAAACCAACCAATTACCACCTGCAAGTGAAACTACTATGGCAGTGATAGAACCACGACCAGCTAATGCCACGTCAGCCCTAGGGTTACTTCTTCAATCATCAAAATTCAAGGAGATGATGGAGATGACATCAATGACGGATTATCCATCGACTCCGGCGGATAATCAAATAGAGCCACAGCAATGTAGATTCCCAGATGACATTCAGACGTACTTTGATTGCCAAGATCAAAACACTTATGGAGAAGGTGATGATATGATTTTTGATGACCTCAACTCATTTGTGCCTCAAATGTTTCAATGTGATTTCTGACTAATTGAAGGATAATCCACAGATTAAGGTGCTTAATTAATTTATATATAATCATGGTATAATTTTAATTGACAGAATTATGTGCTTAGGTTCTTAATTTTTTGAATATGAGGCCACAAGTCAATATCAATGGTCTCTGGCCCTCCTCGCGGTGGTGAAGGGTTATTAGATTATAGATATATATTTAGGTTTCAATATGATCTTTCTTTTTAGCTAGCAAAATTGAAAATTTAAACAAGAGAAGAAAAGAACAAGGAAGGAGAGATTGGAAATTTATTATTGGGTCTAATTTCTTTGTAGATCAAGAAAAGAAAATAAGCTTTGTTTGAATAATAAGTTGTAATTTTCACATTTTGTTCATCAATAATAATAAGCACATGTTATATTTCCTTTTCCTTTTTTTTTTTTTTTTTTTTTTTTTTTCATCAATAATAAAAGCACATGTTATATTTCCTTTCCTTTTTTTTTTTTTTTTTTTTTTTGTTGTGTATAGATGCTTGATTATTGATTTAATTACTTGGTTTTCCAAAAGAAATTTTTTTTTTTTTTTTTTTTTTTTTGTTGTGTATAGATGCTTGATTATTATTTAATTACTTTTTTCCAAAATAAATTCACAAAATTAAACATACTAGATGATATTGCTAAAACTATATTCATTTCCTCAAAAAAAAAAAAAATCATTTATGCCACTATAATTTCTTCTATTTTCGATTAAAATCTTGTTATTAACGATAAAAATGCAAGACAAGCAATTAGGGGGACAAGCAATTAGGGTTTTCGCTTAAATTTAATTCCGGTACAAAATAATTTTGTAGACACGTAGAAGAAGCTCAATTCAATTTTCTACAAAGTGCTTTATAAAATTCATGCATTTGTTATTTTTAGTTTGAGTTAAATATTAATTTTATTATATTAATTAAATATTAATTTCCTTTATATTTTTTATATGAAGGAGAACCATTAAGAACTAATTAAAACCATCTCGAGTATAAACTAAAATTTTCGGAGGATGCTCTTCAAAAACATGAAAACCCAAAGCTAAAATTTATTTTTATAAAAACTTAAAAAGTAGTTATTTCAAATAAAGTTTCTCATTTGTAAAATTTGGAAAGTGTCGGGTACACACGACCACAACCAAAAAATACTCGATCAAAGCGCCCGAGGGGAAGGGGCTGAGACAAGAAGTTGGAACCACCGACACAAAGTCCAAGTTTAATCCACGTGTGTTCCAACACTTTATTACGCTCCAACGGCTACTTTTCCACCCGTTGCCAGTCCCATCCGCACCAGTATACCCTTCGTCCTACTCGCAAACCGTACAAGTCACTTGAACCAAATCGACAATAATTAAATCAAACCGAATCATAAATCAAAATCAACCGGATCCTTGTAACTACACATATATGTAACATTAATATATTCATACTCTAAATATATTAAATTTTATAGTCTAGTTAATTAATATGATTTTTCTAATTAATAATTTCAAAATGATTTAATTACTAAGTAAATAATTGAATTTATTTTGGATATGAAATTAATTGTTCAATTAAATTTTAAATCAAATAAATCACTTAAATTATCTATATACAGTTTTGAGATTTGAATACTGTTAATAGTTTGATTCGATTTGAATTTTTTGCATTAACAGATTCGGTTTGGATATATCTCAAATCAAACCAAGTTTGGCGATTTCGTAATTTTCTAAAAGCTCAACCAAGCTTTTGGTCATTTTACGCCTCAAAGCCCCATGCTCAAAATCTACAAAACCTACACTTCCCGCCCAAATCCATTTTTCCCTCCCTCTGGAAAAACTTTCCTTATATTCTCTCTCTTTCTTTGCTCCATTGATAGGGTTTATTTTTCACTTTCTTTCTTCAATTTCTAGTAGGAAGTTCAAGTAATGCCAGACTTAGGCAATATCTCTGTATCTCTTAGTCGCTGTTCTACTGTCAAGCCTCTCTCTCCTTCTCCTACGGACACTCAATTAGATTCAACGTCTCCTTCTATTTGTTCTGGTTCAGTCAAAACCCTAGCCAAAGACTATAATTGGGACCAGAAAATTCGATTTCCTGTCGAGGTTACTTGCAATGGCAAATCAATTAGGGTTTTGAAGCGCAGCCGTGCTGGGGGTGGAGCAGTTAAAAAAGGAGGTAATGGTAAATGTTTGGACGATTATGTTGGGGATTGGGTTAAGAAGAAGATGGATTCGGGTGTCTCTCAGTCTCGCTGCTTCCTTCCTTTCCTTGTTGGCTCAAAGAAAATTGTAATTGCTTCGACTTTTTTTTTTATTATTATTCTTCATTTGTAATTTTTTTTAAGGTTTTGTTATCTTTATCAGGTGGAAAATTAGGGTTAGAAAACTAGAATTGTTAAATTTTGATTACTTGTTAGTTGAGAATATTGTTTAGTTATTGATTTTTAAATTCGCAATATCTTGTTTGTTTTTTCTTTGTGATCAACTGAATTTTGTTCTGTTTGGTATATCTATTGGAGAATTCTTCTTATGAGTTTGAATGTTTTTCATTCATATAGATCTCCATTCAAAGTTGCAAGCGTTGCCTCTTTGAAAAATGTTATTTTGAGCGCTGAGATTGATAAGTTTTTTTATAAGTAAATTTTTGTGTAAGCTTTAGGATAAGGTTAAAAGTGGTTTTGATTTAAAGTTGAATGTTTGAGGAAGATGATTTTAGAATTTAGATTGGTGAAGCACACTCATAAGTGTTCATATTTAATATTCTCAATACAAATCTGCAAGGACAGAAGTCCTCTCTGGCATTAGTTCATCTCTGAAGTTGAGCAAATTGCTAGATGCATGGCTTATATTCAGGTTTCCTATTTATTTTTGTAGGAAGTCGGAGATTGATGCCATTTTGTATTTATTTCAGGTTGAATGTCTTCTTTGCCATAACTTTATCTTCCCCGGTGACAAGGTAACATGCACTGTCCATAATTGTGAGGGAGTTTACCACTTAACATGTGTGAAGGACAGGCTTCACGTCTCAAATCCAAGAAAATTTAAGTGTCCACAGCATGTAAGATTGAGTTTATTATGCTATTAATTCATTTAATGTTTAAGAAGATCTTGTAATTTGTATTTGCCATATTAGTTTGCTTCCATATAGCAATAACATAATTGTTCATTCCACCGCCACTGCCAAAAAGGGAAGGTGGAAATAAAGGATAGTCATTCCCAGAACATATTTATGTTCTTGTGTTTCTAAAAATCATAAAAGCTCCCTTTCTTTTTCCCATGCAATTTAGCTGATTTTGTAATGATGCTAGTTATTGACGTCCAAATATCTGCATATCAGATCTGAACTTTTCCTTGCAGAACATCTAATTGACTTTCACTCGCTACTGCTGAAGGATTCTCTTATTTTTTTCCATCCTTTTCTCCAATTTGCCTTTTGGTGCTTGTCTCTTACCCTAAGTTTGATTTGAAATTCTGCAGATGTCAGCTGTAACTTTTCTCTATCCAGTTTATTGCATTGAAATTGTTTTTTTGATAATTGTGGATTCTGAGACTATTTTTTGCTTGTAAAATGGTTACCCACATCTTACTAGCCCTATTGCATTTCTGTGACATGTTGCTGTCTATAGGCATGCTTCATTTGCAAACAAAAATTTCATTGGCGATGTGTGCGATGTTCAATGGCATCACATGATAAATGCGGTCCATGGCCAGATAGAGTTATTCATTTGATAGATCAACAAGGAAGAGCAGTGTGTTGGAGGCATCCAACTAATTGGCGGTTAGATAAGAAGGTCAATCTCTTCTTTCCTTCATCAGCTATTTTTATTTTTATTTCCTTTGTGGCACATATATTCTTCAGTTACAGTCATGCTCTCTCTTTTTTATAAAATAGGGAAAAGTTATTGTGAAGTTAATCAAAATGTTGTGATCTAAAATCTTCTACTTCTTGGGGGAAGCAACCATAGTCGTTGATCTACATGTGTAATTGTTGTGACGGATTCACTTGCTAAAATCATTATTATATCCAATTTGATAACGACACTTATTGGAACTGCTTGTAATTTTCTAGCTCGATCGAAATTGATAATTGAGTGTGTATTGGTGTATGGTTTCACTTAGTCTATTCACATTGGACAAACAATAGAGTGGGTTAAATTTCTTGTTTATGTTGGTTGCAATTTTTTTTTTCACCTTAAAATCTTCAACTTAGTTGTGGAATGTGAAAAGTTGACTTCTAGGCTTTGTTTGGAAAGGAAAGGAAGAAAAATAATGGAGGAAGAAAAATTATAGAGGAATTGTCAATTTGCTTTTTATAGTTATTTTCCCCCCTTGTGTTTGGATATAAGAAATATTTTCTTTTGTTTGGAAAGGGTAAAATTTTAGAGGAAGGAAAATGTTATAATTGAAAATTTTCAGTTATATCATCACTTAAATAATGGGGTATTTAAGAAAGGATTAAAGTTTGTTTACTAATTTCGGATTTGGGTAACTTAATAAATTCCTCCATTATTTTCTCTCCAAATTGGAGAGATCCAAAATATATGGACCCATATAGAAAATAAGTGGAAGATTACTTTCTTCAATATTTTCTTTCTTTTTGCCAAACAAGGGAAAGTACTTTCCTCTAGGCATTTTCCATTCCATCCAGACAAAGGCCTGAAGTTCAAAACATCAATCTGTTTGGCATTAAGGTTGAAAATTGCCTTTTCAATCTTGTTGTGAAAAGCACTTTAAAATTTCTATTTTGCTGCTTTAGAATTTTGTGGCTACAAACTGTTAAATTTTACTTAAAGATGGTATCCACGAGCCTTTAATCATATTTTTCTCAATAACAGAGCTAAGAACAATAATGAACCATGAATCTAGCTGTGGCTGGAAAACTTTCTTAAAAATGGCTAAGGTACCCTGCATATTCTTGTCGTGATTGGGGCCGATTTCATAAAAAATCAACTATCACAGTATCAATCAATCTCTTCCACTCCTCTTGTGGAAGAGTTAAAATAAAATACTATTTTACAAACATTAAATTGCCAAAGTAGGTAATGTTAATCTGCAGCCAAAAGTATTCAACTATTTTGTAATGAGCTGATCAATAATGTAAGCCGTTGGTTAAAGTTTATTTTGCAGCCTCATTACATATTCAAGTGAGTTCTGTTTGAGTTTTGGTCAAAGCCTATGCTTATTTTGTGTGGTTGATGTCCAATGTGAGTAATTATTTTTTGTTGCTTTACCTTTCTTTCATATTCAATCATGTTGATGAGATTATAAGAAGCAGATTTGCCTTTCATAGTTGTGCTCTTTTTTTTTCTTTTTTTTTTTTTTTTTTTTTTTTTTTTTTTTTTTTTTCCGTATGCTTATTTTTTGTGTGGTTGAGTCCAATGTGAGTTAATTATTTTTTTGTTGCTTTACCTTTCTTTCATATTCAATCATGTTGATAGAGCATTAAAGAAGTCAGATTTGCCCTTCATTAAGTTGTGCTCGTTTTTTTTTCTTTTTTTTTTTTTTTTTTTTTTTTTTTTTTTCTTTTATAGCATTTTTTTTTTTTTTTTTTTTTTTTTTTTTTTTTTTTTTTTTTTCTTTTATGCATTTTGTGTTGTACATACTGCTTCTGTTGAAGTTTTTAGTTCCTATGCAGTTGATATTGTAAACACTATCATAGTGTAATCTGTGAGGTTCTTGTCTCCGTTGTTTGACTTGTCATCATCCTTTTTCACTACAAATCAATATACTGAAATGCTATAATGTGAGACTTGTCATTATCCTATAATGTGTCTAAAGGTTAACTTATTTGCTTCTGACATTAGGGAACTGCCTTGGTTATTATTTTTAGTATTTTTTTGCAACATTTCCGTTTTTGGTTGAGGTTTTATTTCCTTGTTCTTATTTTTTATTGATTAGGCTGGCTGACAGGGCTGGTGTATTTGTTGAATGAGCAGAATATCATTCCAGCAAGTAATATAGAGGTCAGATTTTTAACGAACTCTTTTACTGCGATTGTTGAACATACACTTCACAAAGACACAGGGATACGCAGCCATCGTATGTCTCAAAAGTTAAGAAAAACATACTCTGGTCAAGGATTGTGCAAATTAGCAAGACCAGTTGTATTCAATGATAAATGAGCCTGATGAAGAAAATTGCATGTTAATTTCTTCTTTAAGAATCTAATGTTACTTGTAATAATATCCTTGAATGGATACTTTACAATGAGATATATAGTGTTGCAAGTTATATAATTATGCTGCTGTGTCATTTCTTTTATACAAAGAAATAGATGGAAAAGGAAATGAATCATACTTTATTGATCTATATCTGTGTATATTTGGACTAGTTAGAGAGAGCTGATTGTTTGGTCCTAATGTATACACAAAACTATGTGGCAAAAAATAACTTAGCTGGTTCAAACCTCCGTTAAACCTTTACTTGAAGTCAATTAGATGGTTCATTATCTCGATTATGTTCTGTTTAGGGTCAAACTTTCTAGTAGTTGTTCTCACAGTTTAGTCTATCTCTTGTTCTATTTCCTTCTACAACTTGAAACTACTTACTGTTTCTGTTAGTGCATTCATAGATCTATGGTGGGATATAGCCAAATCATCAACAACCTTCACTTAGCTAAGCATAAATTGTAGAATTCCCCACTTTCTTATGGATATTATCAAATACGCACTAAATTGTAGTTCAATTTATTTTGTAGATAAAAACATTCTGAGCAACCTATAATATAAGACCTCTAATGAAACTAATTTGATCATAAAAACCTTGCTTATTTTCTTTTGTCACAGTTTCAAATATGAAATACTAATTTCTTATGTGCATACTTTGCTATCCATTACTCCACTATACTCCCCCAGCCAGAGATATTAGTTGTATTATATATCATTGGAGCAAGGGCAAATGTGGTGTATCCATTAAGTAATAGCTGCTACATTTATTTCTTTACTGATTTACTTTTACTCTGTTCCAAAATTTAACCTCCCTGTTTCTTATTTTAGGACGTATTTTGCCGCTTGCCTCTACCATATACTGATGAAGAATTCAAGATTGACTTAACTTGGAAAGCCCTGATGGAGAATAAACTAGAGCCCCCACCATATGTGCACATCAGACGCAGTATCCTATATGCATGTTTGTGTATGCGCGCGCGCGCGTGTGCATATATGATTCTATGCTCACATCTTCATCTAATCTGACAGGCTGACTATTTGTTACTGTGGCTTGATTACGCTACTGACTTGCCAGTTTTTTCACTAACCTGTTTTGTTGTTGATGAAATTATAGTTATTATAACTGGACATGTGTTTTGAGTTGAACTTGACTTAAATTGAAATTAGATGTGTATCTAGTTAAGAAGAAGCGTGATGTTGCTGATAATGATGTGGGCTGCACAAATTGCAGTTCTACATGCTGTGAAGATTGTGTATGCAGGTAATACTTGAATGATTCCAAGTTTTGATTAGATGCTAACAGTAGATGATTTCTTGAATCTGTCTGTTATTTGGATCATACTCATACTCAAGGACGGGATTCTTTACATCCAACTTAGTTTTTCTTACAATAAAAACATTTGGAATTACTTAAATATAATAGAGTGGAATAGGTTAAGAATGGAAGCATTGCTAGTTATATTTTGGAGCTAATATACACTGTGGCAGCTATTCTTATCTGCAGAAACAACTTATGGAGGCATCTCCCATTTATCTAATTGCTTCCTTTGCAACTTCTTTGAGAAACATCTGAATTCTATGGAAAAATTATATTTTGCATCAATTGTATCTGTAAATGTGATTACTAAAGCTTTACAGCATTTTGACATATTATATATGAGGGTCATAGCATGAATGTATCATTTGCTAGGGTTCAATGTATAAGCTGCTCGAGGGCTTGCCATTGCTCTGAAAATTGCACAAACAGGCCATTTCGCAAGGAGAAAAAGCTAAAAATTGTTAAGGTGAGAACTTCATTAACAAGTCACAGAATGCTTCTACTTCAGTTTGTATTGTGATAAGAGATTACTTGGTCTTGGTTAGGGTATATTTTATGCATCATAACATGGCTTGATAGTTTATTTTACATTTTCAGACTGAATTTTGTGGTTGGGGAGTGGAGGCAGCTGAATCCATAAACAGGGGCGAATTTATAATTGAGTATATTGGGGAAGGTAGTTTTACTTACATACTCATGTATATTGAATCCTGTGTTATGATTCTATTTATTGTCCCCGTGCTATTTTGACAATGGAATCAATTGCAGAAATTACTTGAAATGGTTGTTACATAATAGGTCTTGGGCCTGGATATTGTTTATAGCTGCCTAGTTACTGTTACCCTTGTTATGTACTTTTCTAACGATTTTCTGCAGCATGATATAGTTTAAAGTGGCAGTTTTTTTTGGCAAAGTTAAGGACTGGATATTTAGTACTCGGGAATAGAATGGTTTCTCTATTTTGTCATTGTTGTCGTCATCATTATCATTATATCTTTGCTGTCTTTGGATTGAAATCTGTAATATGTGCTTTTAGAAATGATAAAAAATGATAATTCATTTCAATTGTCTTCCTGTTCTAGTGATTGATGATGCACTGTGTGAACAAAGGCTTTGGGACATGAAATACAAAGGTGTACAGAACTTTTACATGTGCGAAATTCGAAAAGACTTCACTATTGATGCAACATTTAAGGGGAATTCGTCTCGCTTTCTAAATCACAGTTGTGATCCCAACTGCTTCTTGGAAAAGTGGTTAGTACCTTTAAAATTGTTGCTTTTGTATTATCTCTAATCATTTAGAGATTCTAGAAAGTCACCTCTGCCATTCTTCTTTCCAAATGGCTGTGGTTCCTCAGATATGTAGTAAGGATTGGGCTATGTAAGTTTGTCTTCATTTTCCAACCAACTATAAATTTAGTCCATTTGGCATTGAGGTTAAAAACTGTTTTTCTGCAAAACACACTTTAAGATGTCGCAAAAAGCACTTTGCATTCTCTTTTGTTCTTATGTGACTACGGCAATTGGCATATGCTATCCATTGTACAAGTGAATATGATGCTGTTTGAAAAAGTACTCCATTCTGCACATAGTTTCCACTTTTAACAATTTCATTCCGGGTTTTTTAGGCAGGTTGAGGGAGAGACACGAGTAGGTGTGTTTGCTGCTCGTTCAATAAAAGTTGGGGAATCATTGACGTATGATTACAGGTACATGATATGCAGCGAAATTCCATATTCTTTGGACTGCCATAAAACTTACAGCATTATATTTCCCAACATTGGACCTCTTTCCGTCTAACTATTCTGTAGCATACGGACAAGTCATTAATTCAATTAAAAATGTATACAGATTACCATGAACATTTTAAGATATATCCATGTCAAATCCATCTGCTGGTCCCATCCTTTTGTCCTTTTGTCGACATATTTTGCTAGACATTATGATTGTCTTGCTTTTGAATGCTATTGCCAGATTATTCAATTCAAACCAATACCAATCCAATAAGTTCATAAACCATAAATTTTGTTTCAATGTGGTGGTCTGAATCAGGTTGGTTAGCTTGAATGTTTTTGTCTTTTACAGCCCTGGCAGTTGTATGCAGGAATCCCACGATCACATCAATCATAATGCTCAAATATACTGATCTGAGCATTTGTTGGTCTCTGGATTTTGTGTTGAATGAATCTGATATATTCAACAGTTTCAACCATATGAATTATGATTTAAGCTGTGGCTATCATAATTCCTAGATAGAAAAACCTTTTAGCTCAATAGTGCAAGAAACGTATCTTTTGTTTATAATAACAACCTCTGTATGTTTGGCTTTGTAGATTTGTGCAATTTGGACCAGAGGTGAAGTGCCATTGTGGTGCACGAAACTGTCATGGTTATCTTGGAACAAAAAGAAAGATTGCTAAGTTGAACATTTGCTGGGGCGCAAAACGCAGGAGATCATCAACTGCTTGCTTAGCTATTGTAACTGTATAATTCATATCTGCAGGATCAGTCTTGTACATTTTTCCGATAATCAAGTACCGTATCGACGAAGTGGATGTGAAAACTACAGAGAAAGAAAAGAAAACCTCATTGCCATTGTTATACCATTCTTCAAGCTTAAAAGTGAAAAAAAATATTAAGTTTTCCATGTTAACTTTTGCTAATAGGCATTCAAGTGAAAAGTAAGAGTGCATGTAATTGATTTTTCTCCAAGTGGGGTTACCAAGTTGTAGTTCACACATTTTTTGAGGGTAACGCGGGTCACAGGATTTGGAAGATTTGAAGATTGGGTTTAAAATCTTTGATCTTCTCATTCGCGTTCTTATTTTTATTGTATTTTTAAGTTTTAACTATGCAATGAAGCTTATCATCTGATATCCGACAAATTAGTCCTGTTATATTTTCTGTTACAAATATTTGAAGTCTCAAATTTACACCTAGCTCCACTCCAATTTTCACTTTCTACCACCATTATTCAGTTTCAATCTACTCTCGTTTGTGCAAAATTCTTTCTTTTTCCCATAAGATCAATGATACTAAGGAGAGACAAGAAGGGGTTAGATTATTGGAATTCTATATTCTATAAAAAATATTTTTCTAGAAAATAAATGTTTATTTACTATATTTTGGTAACAAAGTTGTTTAAAAAAATGTGTTTTAAAAAATTAATCAGACACAATTACTTGCATATCTTAAAAAAAAAAAAAAAGAATCTTTTTCTAACAAAACTCTAAATCAACACGTATTATCAATTTTTAATTTTTTTTATACTTTTTGCATAGGACATGTACTTCATTCCTTGTCATGGAAACTTATGGGAACATACTCATTTTCATATCTATATTTGTGCTGTGCAAATATACAGCATGGTCTAGCCTTAGTGGTGCAATATGGTTAATTTTCTATTGTTTTTGAAATGTCCAGAGGCTTCACTTCTTGTTTAAGATTCCATTATACTATATATATTCTTTTTGTTGCAAAAGCACAAATGACAAAGTTATGGAACACCATTTCAAGAATTTCCTCTGTACCCAAACTTTAAATTTGGCAGAATTTTTAGATGCTTAACAGTATAGTGGCAAGATTTGTTTGTTTCTTTTCTTTTCTTTTAATTTTTTTTTTCATTTGGTTTGTCTCTAGTTAAAAATTAGAGACATTACACTTGTATTTTATATTATCCACTAAATAATTGACACAAAATCTATCTTGCTTTTTGTTTTCAGGCCTGATTTGCAAATATAATAGGAATAACAACTTAATTTGTTTCAAGCTCAGGTTTAACACATGTCCCCTATTTATTAGATATTATTAATTTTATTTGAGTGGAATTATGATTGGATACAGTAGCAAACAGTAGAACATTTCAAAATTGCAAGGCTCCCATTCATTTGCAAGTCTATAGGAATAAGGTTCTAATAATATTCTCATTGCAATTTGTGTCAATGAGTTACAATTCAACATTATATATGTTGTAGGGACAAAAATTTCCTATAGGACAGTTAAGGAAAGGGTCCTAACTTCCAATTCCATCAGGTTAATCTTTTGGGTAGAGAAGAATGTCATAGAAATAAAAATCCCACGTTGGATAGATAATTAAAACTGCAGACATGTTAATTAAAACTAAAAGGGATGGTAATTGGTTGTACAAGAAACTATAATCTATCTTAAAGAGTCTTCAAGAAATTCTTGCAGATATATTGCCAGAATTTCCTATCAGGTTCAGCCATTTCCAATCCAAATTTAGCTTTCTCAGCCAAACCAAAATCTATAGAGTTGTTATTGAGAAGACGATCGATGAGGTTATAAAGAATGTCTTTAGTGTACTCAGGATGGCCTTGAATACCCAAAATGTGCTCTCCAATTCCAAACATTTCGACTCCTGTTTTTTCTGAATATGCGATTACTTCTGCTCCTAATGGAACTTCCCATACTTCATCTTGGTGGCATTCTATTATTGTTAGGGAATTTGGGATTTCATTTTTTATGCTAGTCATAAGCAAGTTATTCCCTGCTGGGGATATTAAATCCTTCACTATTCTCAGTTTTCTTAATCCAATGTCCCATCCACTGTATGCCTTTCCAACTTTCCCACCCAATGCTCTGCACAAAACCTGCAACCCAAAAAAATAAAATTAAGAACCAGTTCATTGCTGAGTGAAACAATTAATTTCTTTAATCAAATTAATATATACCTGATGGCCAAAGCAAATGCCAAGAACTTTCTTTTCCATGGCATCCAAAGTTTGCAGAAGAAAGCAAAGTTTGAGAATCCAAAAGTCATTGCCATAAGCATCGTAAGGGCTTCCACTAACAACAAAACCATCATAAAAATGAAGGTCATTCATGTCAGGAAACTCTCCATCAACAACCCTAAACAAATCCCATCTCTCTCCATCTTCTCCAAAAGCTGCAACAAACACATTAAAATAACCTCCATACACTTTCTTTACATAATCTGTGTCTCTTGCTGCCAGCAAAAGAGCGTATCTTTTCTCTGCTGTGTTAATCTTCATATTTAAATATTACTTTCAAGAAAATTAAGGAGGGAGAGAAAGAGTTGTAGTTATGGCTAGAGGTGATGAATATGGTCTTTTGGATATGAGAAACGGGAGGAGGAAATTGGGTTTATATCGGAGGAGTCAAACGCGGTCTTAAGAGTCGCCAGTCAATACTCGATAGTAGCGTGTTTGACTCTTTTATCCTTTTCTTTTTTCATAAATACTTGGAAAATTATCATGTTTGAATGTACAAAGAATTTGTATTTTTAATTTTAACAAAATACAAAATTTGGTTAAACCAATATTATCCAATTCAATATTTAATTATATAAAAAGTTATTTCTTATAATAAAACCATTAATCTTTTTTTTTATTCATTACTAGATTTTTCTCTTCTTTCTAAACTTATTTCGGATTAAATTAGGATTTTCACCAGTATTAAGAGTATTTTCAATGTAACCATAGATTGTAGCTGATGTGTTTTAATAAATAAAAGTTATGAATAGTGATGTGGCTGAATGTGTATTTGTAGTTATTAGATTTTAAAAATGGTTTTCCAATGTACGAAGAATAAATCAATTTCAACGCAAAAAAAAGTTTGAGCGTAAATAAAGGAGCATGCATGAAGGAAAATTAAAAAATAAATAAATAAATAAAAAGTTGAATTACGCTGTCTAACAGACCCTCTAAAAATAGAGAGCGTGATAAATAAATATCTCTTTTTCTTTTTGACATATCAGATTCACAAATTAAATAAACAATATCATTAGAGAAGATTCTTGTTTTTAACTTTTAATTTTTTAGATGTGGCAAATAAATTAATGCAATCAAAGGTCGCATCGGAGATTCTCTGAACCCTGGAAAAATGAATTGGAATTTCCACATGTTAGGACAAATAGGAAATTAGTTGAGAAAAAAATTAAAAAAAGAAACAAGAAACATTATTATGTGATATTGACAATTTCGGAAGTTGTACAAATGGTAGGGCAGACGATTTAATGATCTTGTTTGTAATGGAAAATTGTCACGTGGGTCTTTCACAATAACGTAAACTTGCTCAAATTTTGGTTATCAGTTATCCATCACTTCTAATTCCAAATGGAAAGTTTTCCTCTGCAATTAGATTGTTTTTTTCATGTGAATTGAAATTGAGAATAAATTAATTTAAATTTAAACCATAAGAAACATATGATTTACTGCTGATACACAATAAAAAAACAACACAATTGACTTTTCGAATCATATAATGGATTTTTTGACATTAAAATAGTGGGTGAGAACAAAGTGATTATTCGTGTGTGTTGGATCTCCACTCACTAGGTTTTATATTCTTTTATTTTCGGCACGGTGGATTCGGTGAATTTGGGATTTTTTTGATTTATCAAATCGATGATTCAAGTTTCTCTCAAGGAAAACTTTAATCAGCCTGTAAATCGTCTATTTTGATTTCGGTTTATCCCAATAGAAATTAGTTCTGGCCACCACTTCAACATAGTTACTGCATTATACATATGGATTTAGCGAATTAGGATTTTGATTTACAAAACTGAGTGGTCAAATTTTATTAAGAAAGAATTATAACAGGTGAATCGTTTATCTCGATTTTAGTTGATTTTGTTAAATATTTGTTCTCATGGTTGATGCCTTGATAAACTTTACAAATAAATAAAAAATTCTAAAAAGAATTAAAAAAAAAAGAAAGTAGTAATAGGAAGTAAATTTTAGGGGTTTATTTTATTATACTGATGACTCATTAGAACTTCAACTTATTTGTGCAGACAATAATAAATAAATTATTTGTTTAAACTAAATTATTAAATAACTCATAAAAAATTTATTGATTGAGCTCAAATACATAAACTTATTTCTTATTATTTTAATGAACAAATTAGAGGTTGAATAAATTGTCATTAAACAGAAATAAACAACCCATTAGAATTCAACTTCAAACAAATGAAATGAGTCTTTAGTAAATATTTACTAATCAAATATTATAAAATTGAAAAAAAAAAATAATTCTGAACAAATCATAACCTTTATAAGCATTAAAACTAGTTTGATCAATAATCAAGAACGGCAGCCACCTATTATAGTGTGTTGATAGTCTCATATAATAATCCAATTCGTAAAAAAAATTTCAAAAAATTATTATTATTTTATTTTTTTAACGAAAATATTATTATTAATAATTAAAATTTTATTTTTATTAATTTAGTATACGAGTGAGCGCATGCAACCCGAGTGGCTAAGTTCACTGTAATAAAAAAACACGTGGCAAGATTGTTAAATAAGAATAAATTATTGTCGGTAGGCAGCCTTGTCCGAGCCTGGAAGCTTACCGTCTCTTTGTTCACGTAGTAAGCATAAAAAATTTAGAATATGATTAGTAGTTGTCGTGGTATTTATGATATTGGTAAAATAAATATTTAAATTAATAAATAAATATTTTAAAGTTCTTCTATTTTTTTTTTTAAAAAATGATTATATTTAGAGATTGGAATTAGGATGAGTTTTCGCTAATTTCACTAACTTTCAATTTTTCTTATAAGTTTAATCATCTTCAAACCTCCAAATCTATCAATAATACAAATTTAAAAAATTAAAATAAATAAAATAAATTGAAATATTTTTATGCTTTAATAAAATTTCAACTAAAAAATACATATAATATACACAATTGTTTTCTTTCTATATTTATAAAAGAAACATATGAATTTGTTAAATATTATGATTCAAATTACTTTTTCACGTAAAATGTCATATTTTGTTTTTTTTTGTTAAATAGATTTAGGGAATTGTCTAAAGTCTTAAAATCCAAATCCACTATAAACTCATGACAACTAATAAATTTAGTATCTATAATCGTTTGAGAACCAATTATTGAAATCTATTTGGATAAAAATGACGCTGAAAATAAAATGTTTTGAATAATATAAAATTATCTTATTTTATTAATTACCTAAAAAATAAAAAATCTAATCAAGAATAATTTAATATCAAGTGCAGGGAAATCTTATCCTTTTTTTATTCAAGTCATATAAATAAAACCTAATATGGCCCACTTTTATTCTATTGAAATCTAATCAATTCATCAAATGAAATGATTTACACTCTATTACTGCTTTCTTTTCGTGCAAAACATCAGCTAAATTGAATTATCTAATCCTAATGAGTAGTATCAAATTTTTAAGAATATATCATAAAATATATAATTGTGTCCTATATTATATAATTGGACAGTAAATAGAGTGCAACTCTATTTTTAGCAAGCACATGCTTACAGTGAAAGAATGCACGTGGAACTTTCTCATTCCAAGCAAAAGCATTTCGAAATTCAATAATCATAATAATAGACAAGAAACCTAACATCTCACACAACATTCACCAAATGTCAATATCACACAGTATTCCTTTAGCTTTCTTTAAACAATTTTCAATTGGTCCCAAAAACGCACATGGAAATGTCAAATTTCTTTTAAATATAAATTTTTGCGTAGGATCAGCCGTAAACATTTGTATCGTCACACATACCTTTATCTTTATATGTATTCAGATAAAATTCTTCCAATAAATATGTTTTTAAATTTTTAACTTTTATTTTATAAGTAAAAATTTATTTATATGTACAGTTCATTTCTGTTTATTTAACTTTAAAGTAAATTAATTTATAAATAAAATCATTTAGCTATTGGATTTATTTTTCTCGTTGCCAATAACATGTACAGAACAATATAAATTGACATTTGCATGCTTAGTATAATAATAATAATTATCATTATTATTATTCTACCAAGATGAACATAAAATTAGTTAATATTAATTAAAATACAGAGAAGTAATTGGACCGAGTGTAATATGCAGTTTCCTAAACTAAAGAGATTTAAGAGAACAAAGCCTAAATTCTCAGGCTCCTTTATTTTTCTGTTGGTTTTGGACCAGGAATAATTATAGTGTCATTAGAATAATAAATCTCTACCGCGTTGGCTTCCTAATCCCACCTTCTATATAAACCCAATATCTTCCTTTCCATTTCTCATATCCAAAAAACCATTCACTTCTAGCAACAGCTGAAATTCTCTCTATCCCTCTTTTACATACAAATACTTCTTTCATTTCTTTCAAAATAGTTCCTTTTATTCATTTCTTGAGTCAATTTTTCTTGAAAAATTATATTTCAATATGAACATTAACACAGCAGAGAAAAGATATGCTCTTTTGCTGGCAGCAAGAGACAATGATTATGTAAAGAAAGTGTATGGAGGTTATTTTAATGTGTTTGTTGCAGCTTTTGGAGAAGAAGGAGAGAGATGGGATTTGTTTAGGGTTGTTGAAGGAGAGTTTCCTGACATGAATGACCTTCATTTATATGATGGTTTTGTTGTTAGTGGAAGCCCATATGATGCTTATGGCAATGACTTTTGGATTCTCAAGCTTTGCTTTCTTCTGCAAACTTTGGATGCCATGGAAAAGAAAGTTCTTGGCATTTGCTTTGGCCATCAGGTATATATTAATTTGATTAAAGAAATTAACTGTTTTCCTCAGAAATGAACCGTTTCTTAATTTTGTTTTTATGGGTTGCAGGTTTTATGCAGAGCGTTGGGTGGGAAGGTTGGAAAGGCATATAGCGGATGGGATATTGGATTAAGAAAAGTGAGAATAGTGAAGGATTTAATATCACCAATAGGCCATAAAATGCTTATCGATAGCATAAAAAATGAAATCCCTAGTTCACTAACGATAATAGAATGCCACCAGGACGAAGTGTGGGAAGTTCCATTAGGAGCAGAAGTAATCGCATATTCAGAAAAAACAGGAGTTGAAATGTTTGGAATTGGAGAGCACATTTTGGGTATTCAAGGCCATCCTGAGTACACTAAAGACATTCTTTATAACCTCATCGATCGTCTTCTCAATAACAACTCTATAGATTTTGGTTTGGCTGATAAAGCTAAATTTGTATTGGAAATAGCTGAACCTGATAGGAAACTCTGGCAATGTATTTGCAAGAATTTCTTGAAGACTCTTTAAGATAGATTATAGTTTCTTCATTTTTTTTTTTTTTTTTTCCTTTGTTAACTGTATGCATTTATGTTTCTTGATATATATTAATTTTAAAGAAATGATAAATATGTCAGTGACATCCACAATAAGAATTTACATATTATTTCCCTTTAAAAAAATATGTATTAATCTGAACTCGAGTAATATGACATCACCCATCCGGTGCATGGGTGATATCATACAAATTTTTCTATTTTTTATTTCAAGATAATAATAATAAATGAGGGAAAAAGAAACAATAAAGCTAAAAAATAGACAAACTTAAAAAATAGAATAAAATAATCCACTTTTTTTTTAATGGGAATCCAGTTTTATTTGTTAACAATAAATAGGGGGTAAATACATTTAATTGTAAAAAAAAAAATTGGTCTTGGTATTGGGGCGATATTAAATTGGTGTCATTTTATCCCTTTTGCCACATTAACATCCTACGTGTAAAAATTATCAGTCCACATAAGTGGACATATAGGCGTTTGTTGGTTCCAATAAATCCCATTGGATATTGCGGTTGTTTATGTCATCAGGAGATACTAAATTGAAAAAAATTGCAAATTTAGATATTTAATTGTCATAATTTTCTGTTCAGACACTAAAACAAAAAAAAATGACAAATATAGACACTAAAATTAACATTATTCGTATATGGATCCATCATTAAATTTATTAATAGTTGTGTTTTTATTATTGGATGATTTCCAGGAGAAAAATATTATTACATAAGGAGTATGTTTTATTATATGATTAATTACTAGCCCGAAAACATATTCTTATTCAATTGATAAATTCTTTTATACTGCTTCCAACTTTCAACCTCAACTTTATTTTTAAAAAAATTCCCATTAACTTTTAAGATGATTTATTAAATCCTTCAATTAGTAAAATAAAATCTATTGAAACCTTAATTAATATAATCACATCGATTGTACATAATATAATTTATTTTTTAATTATTGGATATATGTTTAATAAGTTGGATATTTTATACATAACATAAATTAGTAAATAATGAATTTCATAGTTTTCTAACCTTAAGATAAGTGTTACATAAATATAATTTTGTAAGTTGAATTATTTAATATTTATAATTTTATTAGTTATAATACTCAATAAATCGGTGTGATTTTGTAAACCGGCCTATTACATTTTTAACTCTTTAAGTTGACATGTTAATCCTTCTAACTCATAAAATTACACTTATCGAATATTTTTAATTAATAAAACAGCACTTATATTGAATAATATTTCACACATTTTTAATTATTGAATACCGTCCAATAAGTATGATAATTTATGCATCTATTAATACAAATTGTTAAAAAATAATTTTTTTACATTTTTAACCGTCTAATATATATATAAGTTAAATTATTTAATAGTTCCAATCATATATCCTTCTAAAAAAATGCAATTATATAAGTTAAAAATATTTTTAGGGAACAAAATGTTTTTTGATCCTCAAAATTAACAAAGGTATCACCCATGTCCTAGGAAATAGGTCAATTTGCAGCACAAAGAATTAACAGAGAGATTCCATTTCCATAAGCAAATTTAGTCATATTTGGCAACTTCATGAAAGAGCCTTAACAAGAATTGAAATTTCCTAAAATTCCATGTATCTACTAGAGAAAAAAGCATATTTATTTATAATTAATTTGGTGAACAGTTTCTATCTTTAAATATATCAACTTTATGTAACTGTATGTGTCCAGTTTTATGGGCTAGGGGTTACACCATATATAGAATACTTTTCTTTCACCTATTTGGAAACACAATTCTTGATTCCTTGATTGAAAATAGAATCTAATTCTTGAAATAAAAATTTTATTTCTTGTATTATTTATAAGAAATTCAATTAGTTTTGTATTTCAAATTTTTTAATTTTTTATTTTAAGATATAATTTTCTATTTATTATTTATTTTAAAAATAATTTGATGGGTGTTCTTTCATTTTAAATATTTATTTTCACTCTCAATTCATTTCCAAAATAAAAGAAATATGTGCTTAATGTTTAAATGTAAGATTGAGATTCCTCAATAAATTTAGGGATTCATATTTGCAATGTTACTTTATCAGACGGAATTTCATTTATCTAGAAAAATAAAGACAGATTCTTTTAGCAATTTGTTCCAATTTCATATCATCTTTTCGATTGAGATTGCAATACCATTTATCAGCTGAAATATTCTCCACCTTAACGGGATTCATCTAGCTACTACTAGACGTTAGATTCCCCAAAAAAGAATTTTATAATAGAATATAATTCCAATAACAAAATTAATTAATTGGTTAGAAAGGTAAAAAATAATTTAATTTTAATCGATTATATTAATTTCTTATTTAAATACGGGTTCTACTGAATAAATAAAAACTATATTATATAAAAGTTATATAAGGTATATATAAAAGTTATCTATTTTAATATGGTTAGGCCTTAATTATTTTTAATATATGTGTGTGGAGAATAATTAAGGCCTAAATATATTTAAATAAATTAATTAATTTCAAGGTGCACAAATTTATTTTTCCGACGACTAAGATATGGGCCACGCATATGCAGTTTTTGTTGATGAGGCAGAGCAGATATGAATGAGTATCCAAAAAAGAGAAAATGCAAAACATAAGACTTTTGGAGGCCAATATACTTAGAATAAAGCCACCAGAAAAATTGAGAAGAGAATTTCCTCAAATTGCGTAATGTAATGATCTCATTATCAAGAACATTTGTAAGATGATTCTTTATAATGTATTTGGCTGCATTTCTAGTGCACATGCATTACAAATTAGATGAGAACTTTAGTGCACATGCATTACAAATTAGATGAGAACTTCAAAAGCATCTTAGGAGAAATTTGGCCATTCAAAATTTGGAAAATGCAAAACATAAGACTTTTGGAGGCCAATATACTTAGAATAAAGCCACCAGAAAAATTGAGAAGAGAATTTCCTCAAATTGCGTAATGTAATGATCTCATTATCAAGAACATTTGTAAGATGATTCTTTATAATGTATTTGGCTGCATTTCTAGTGCACATGCATTACAAATTAGATGAGAACTTTCAAGCATCTTAGGAGAAATTTGGCCATTCAAATTTGGATTCCTATAGCAATATTTCCACAGGTTTACTCTTTTTTCTTTTTCTTCCTTCTCTGATACAATCACATAAACCTCTAGCCTATTGACTTAGGATTAAAATTTCCACGCAGTCCATTAAAAATGAATTGCTTCTAGTGTAACACCTGCCGCCCAGTCCCGAGAGACTCGACGGTGAATGCCACATTCGGTGTCGGAGTCACCCTCTAGGTAAGTATTTTGCTTTATCTACGAGATTCGAATTTTTAACATCACTTGAACCTCCAAGCTTATTTAAAGAAAAAAATTATTGAACTACTCGTCTCAACACTCATTGATTATTGATCATGAAATTATCTAAAAAATTCAAAAGTCAATAAAATATTCAAATTATGCTATTTTTTCTTTTTATTATATTAGACTTATATATTGATAGGATTGGTTTGAATTTTTTAGCATCAAACCATTGAGTCAAGTTGGATTGAGTCAATACAAGGAGCTATTTGGATTTTCCAAATTCAATAGTTGACTTTTCATGGTTGGACTATGGTTTTTGTTTGATAAATGAAAATATAGTCATTTTTTCTTATTGTCTTATTTGAATCTACTAATAAAAAATTGACCACAATAATCACTGAGATATTAGTCTAATCACTTACTTTTGTTGTAGACATAAAATTAGTAATTCACAATATTTATAATGAAATTAGCATCATTAAAAATAAAAGGTATATGTATTTTTTTATTTACTTTCTCATATTATTATTGGTACGAAAATCTTGTAAGCATATTTACTATTTAGGTGATCAATTTAGGGGAAAAAACTTGCCAAACAAAGGGCAAAACAAATTGCCAAGTTTAGCCCAATCTCGTCGAAAAATTTAGCTTGGGCCCATCCTTTACTAGATCCAGTCAAGCCCAGCAAGTTAACAAGGCTAACAGATAGGAAAAAGTAGGCTGAACAAGGTTTCGGATTCTTGGCACTGTTGAATTTTCTAATTTTAATAATAATAAACATTTAAATTAGTAATTTATATATGGACGAAATTAATTTTATATCACTTGCTCAGTGATAGAATGTAACTATTAGCCGTTTTAGTAGCATGTAATTTAATCTTACGCTACTCTAATCTTTAAAAGCCAGTTCAAATGATATTTTATCAAACAATATAAAAAATAGCGTTGTCAAACGCTAAAAACTATTTAAAAAATTATTGTTAAACACTGTCTTAGTGTTTTACCGTATCAATGTTGTTTATAACATCATATCATGTTATCTGTTTGAGAATTTTATGTATTTCAAAATACAATAACAATAATAATCTTAAAAATTAAATTCATCATAAATTTAAGAGTTCCATACGTTTTTTTTTTATAAATTTTATTTTATAAACAAAATTCACATAACGAAAAATAATATTCTAATTTGGTACCTTATTCAGTTCTAATATTCTAATTAACTTTATATATTTATTTTTTATTGGTAAATAATTAACTTTATATATTTCAATTCCGTTTTATAAATTTCAAAACTCAATGATATAATATAATAAAAAAATCCAGATAAATCAAAATGTTTCCAGGCTAAGAAAGAAATATAGGGTCAAAGAAATCGGCCATGGAGGAATAAAAAAATAAATAAAAATAATAGAAAAAAAAGGCAAAAGAAACCCTAATTCCCAAATTGAAATACAAACAACGTGGTCTCATCATCATATAATCATCTTTTAATTCGGATCATCTTTTGCTTTACTTTTCCTTTCTGTTCTTTACTTTTCATTATTTTCTCTCCTTTCCCTCCCTTTTCATAAAGTGTCTACGTATATTTTTCAAAGAAGAGAGTGATTTACAGTTATTAACAGAAGCTAAATTAAATCCCAAATACTGCTGTGGAGATTAATTATGGGATAACTTTCATTATAATCCAAGATTTTCCGCTGAAATTTTTAGAAATTGGATTGTGACTGTAAAGATATCAGACCTTTCACTTTTCTAACACATACATAAAATATTTGCCGGAAAAAAGAA